GTTCCACAGTTATCATATAGAATTAGTTTTAAATACATTACTGAAATAGTGGAACAATGATCACAATCTAAGCCTGTAGCTTAAAATGTAATTATAATTGGTTTGATAACAGTACACATTCTGCTTAATTGCTTGTTATCATAAATCTAATTTAGAAGACAGTTAAAATTCTAACAGTAAGGAATAATACTAAGTTCAGTACTATGTAAAGTGATCTCGATGACGCAACAGTGACAATTCTCACGCTATCTTGTTTCTAGAACTATCATGTACTTTGTCGAATGTTCAAGGTCTTACTAGAAATAGGTTACGCTGGTATAAAAGCGGGGAAGGTAATGTGTGTGCGGTCAGAGATAGTGAGTAATTGATCTGCGGTCGGTCGGAGTATTATTGACGTTCGTTGCTATTGTTGAGTGTATCGGTTAAGTTATATTCGGAAAGAATAAACCAGTTTTATTAAGTAAAGGCTTGTGTCGCGTAAGTTTCGTCGGTACGAAGTTACGGAAAATTAGTTAATTAAAAAACGGAGACGTAACACTATAAAAAAATCAACTTAAAAGTCAAAGCGAATTTCAAGGTTTATATGAAGATTCTATATTGGTTAGTTACCTACTTAAAATTAGTCTTAACTTGAACTTTAACTTTAAACTTTAGCCTGTTTGATTTATTTATATCTAGTGAAAACTGTTTCAACAGAATATGAAAAAGATTTAAGAACAGTCACGAGTTGAAATACATACAATTAATAATCGTAGTATTTGTTACGTGGTATAGCAACCAACGACAGATGATGTATTTTTGCCTTGGCTGAAAGTGATAAAATATCAAAAGATTAAACAGTAATTTGTTTCATTTATGTAAAAATATAAATTATTTAAAACATTCTGTTATTATTACATTTATTAATAGTAAAAACTATATATACTTAGAAAATTGGTATATACATGTAAAGAGAAGGAGAGCCTCTAAGCCAGTACCTATTATACAAGATATATTGTATGTTTCGTGATCTTTATTTTAGGATATTGATTCGTACTAATACACGATTTATTTTGTTTGTATAGTTATAGGAAGTTCTCACTATTAGATATTGAATGAACTGTTATTAGCAGTGTTTCGAACGAGGAATCATAACATAAGATAAGACAACAAGGGACCATTTGATTTTTTATAACTATCTTTGCATACCACGCTTAAGAAATAATTTTACATTTATACCCACACTTACTTTTCAGGAAATTATCGATTCTCCTCTTTAACTCATATAAAATACTGACCTCCATAACTGCCGACCGTCTTAGTTAAAGCCTAGCCTGTTTTTTTTTCTTCTTTTTGTTGTTGTTGTTTCAAATCTGAAACGCATGTCAATTGTCCCATTACCTTCAGAATATAGCAAAAAGAAAGAAGCCTTTATGCTCTAAGTACCCCAGATAATCTTGTTAATTTTCATAAGATCACCACTTACTTTTCATTTCTCAAAAAAAAAAAAATATGTTAAGAGATTTTAACCTATCCCAAAAAGATAATCTTCTCTCCCCAGAATCATCCTAGCAGCCTTCTCCTGAACGCAATCTGTCCAATAAATTAAAATATTTTTTGAATAAGGAGACCAAAACTGTAGGCACCATGTCAAATGAAATCTACCTAGTGCTTTACATTAAAAGTTAGTTAGAAAGATTAATTTTGACTTGTAATTAACATGCCTGTGAATACATCCTAAAATTTTATTATCTTTAACTCATGTTATTGGATGTTTTCCTAAATACATTAAACGTGTGATCCAAATTATAATATTCCAAATGCATTGACTTACACTTAATACAGGTAAAGGACATTTGCTAAATATTTGTCCAACTTATCGATTGATTCGTTCTGTAAAACCTCAACACCTAGAAATTTCCAGGAGTTTAATGTACAGCAGAGGCTCTAGCAAAGCTAAAATCGAAAGCAATATGCAACAATTCCTTAGTAGGGTGAACAAGTGGTGCATTGACACAAGAATAGTCATCAATCCTTCCAAAGCCACTGCCATGTTCTGCTTGCTAAATAACAAACATACGATAAGAATAAACCATCACCATCTTTTGCAGACATGATTATTCCTCTGGAAGTAAACTGGGAGTAACTTTGACAGACAATTCAACTTCACCAACCACATTAACACCATGATAACCAGAGGTACTAAAGACATCAATGCACTGAAAGTTGCAGCAGGAAATACAGCCGAAGAACTTCAGCTGTTTATGCTCTATCAAAGTATTATCCTCTTTATTCTGGATTATGCACTACCAATGATCAGTATAAGTGCTAAAAAGCAGATAAGGTTGAAAAGCTACAAAACTCCTGTTTAATACTGGTCATGGAACGTACTTCAGCCACCTTCCTCAAAGCTATATTACAACTTACAAGACTCAGCATCATCGCAGAACATCAACAGTATTTATAAGCAAACTTCCCCACTAAAGTATTGCAGAAAGGTCACGTATTCCATCATCGAGCCTGTACCCTTTTCAACTTGGATATAACTGCTCCAAATCGATCTCGCATACATCAGACAAGCAGTGTTTTGGTTGAAAAGCATCCGATACTTCCCCAGGTAAAATATATATCTGATGTCTCTGAGTTCTGTGGAAATCAGTCAATAGAGAAAATGGAGAGATCGAACCGAGGGTGAAGTATAAAAAGCCTCTCAGCACATATTCAAATATCATGGTCGACAGTCACTATCATCATGGCTTCAGATGGTTCATATAACAAATATATTAAGAGAGTTGGTTGGGCATTCATTGTCTCACGAAATAACAACATTTTGCATAAAGCTGATAGAGCATTCAAACTTCCTACAAGCAGTATAAAGATAGAGCTGTTAGCCATAAAGCAAGCTCTCCTCTGGATTGTTCAAAGCAACAAACTGAAGATTGACAGTGCCAACAACATAACATTTGCAACTGACTCATAGGCAGTACTGCATAAAATTCAGAATAGTTATCTCCAAATGGATGGAAGGAAGCAAAGAAACTGCATGGTAAGACTATCAGCTGGATGTATGTGTTGGCCATGCAGGGGTAAATCTAAATGAGTAAGTTGTCAAACTCGCAGGAGAAGCCCTTTTACCAAATTCATAACAACTCTACTAGCATTACTTCTCTGCACTAGTAAGGTGAAAGCAGCAACCATGGGAGGTCTTTATCAGTATTCAAGGGTAATGAGACTGCTGGAAAACAAAGTACCGTATAGGGTAGACAGGAAAAGTAAAGGATGGGGAATCAGTATTTTGGTATACAACCAGAAGGCCTCTGGGTAACATCAGTTAATGAGCTTTTTTCTAGTTTATGCGAGATAGCATGTCTCCACATGAAGGAGCAGCATAACACCAGAAATTGTCACCTAGTACTCAACTCAACTCACTATCATTAATGTAGGAAAGAAGAAGAAGAGGGCCAAACATTGAACTTTGAGGCATTGCATTAGTAACAAGGGTCGAGTCTGAATGAAATTCATTAATAACAACTTTTTGCCTTCCCCCACTCAACTACCATATAATCTAATTAACAAAAAACAAAAAAACGCAAAAATGCAAAACTGAAAGTTTGCATGTACCCCCGCATGGACCAATATCTATCAGCCATGGATATAATTTTCTTATTTAATCTTTCATGTTGCATCCTAACAAAAGGTTTTGGAAAACTTGAGTGTACTAAGTCCATATATACTCATTCCATTGTCCAGATAACAAGTACCATCAACGATGAAAGACAACAGATTTGTAAGTCAAGATCTCCCTTTAGTAAATTCATGTTGTTTTTCATTTATGATAACATATTTCACTATATGATTCTGTAGGCTTCTTTTAGTTTTACCAGTTTCTAATGATAATTTACTTGCATCAGAGTTGGCTGAATCAGTGACAAGCCAAATGTCTACTACTCAGTTTTCTTAATTTTGTCATTATATTGCAAAAAGTAAAAAAAAAAAAGGAGTATTGATACGTTATATACACGTCAGAAGTATCATTATAAACATCTCCTTAAGAAATTTTGCGTGACTCATTATTTTTCATTAACATTTAATGCCAATGGTAACTTAGATAAAACTGTAGGAACGAATAACGGTATATCTTTCCTCTTTTTCTTTTGTCTGTATGTGTACTATAATAATAAATGCAAATTTTCTTTTCTCACATGAGTACCAACGAAATAATAGTAAAAAATATTCATTTTATTTTTTTACCATAGCAGTTTTCATATATATATTTATACTTGTTATTATACTAGTTCTATTAAACTACTAGGCGTTGATTAAAATCTAGCTTACCACAGTAATAATACCACTGCTGAATAGAAGCAATAAATCGATGAATCTTGTGCTGGTTGGCGCCTCTCACATACAGAGAACCATAATTTTTTTTTTAGTTTACAATATTAACTACGGATGTTGTGGTTATAAAAAAATTAAAGTGAACAATTTTGATTTCTTATCCTTTATTTTCTTCTATATTATTTGTATATTTAATGTTAAGAAAGACTTTTAATCGAGTTCTCTAGCAAAATAAAAAAGAAAGAGTGGGCATGCGTATTTCCATCGTCGCATGATAGTAAAATACTGCGGTAAAAGATGCGAGGTGGGTGAGTTGATGATTGTGTTTAATATTATTACTCAACTGGGACCTTGTTGTAGTGAGTAAGAGTTCTGTGCCTTTTTAATAATTCCTGTTCATTTTCAGAACTATTGTAAGAGTAATTGTAGTACACAATCTTTCAAAATCCTTCGACGTGCTCAGGTATGACGTAGACGCGCCTTAGCCTTCCAGATTCACTAGTAGTTGTAATACTACTAAGCCTAATATTATAAATATTAATAATAACAAAACTGTAGTCTCTACTGGAAACTGGAATTGTACTTGAGATAGTTGAACAAGTTGAAGTTCGACAAGATCTCTTAACGTTGAGAGTGAGACTGAGTAAAGGACCGAAGATGCATGATTGGACACATTTGTGTTGACGTTAAGCCTTAAAAAGTGACAAGTACTGAGTCTTACCTACCTTATAATTATTATACAAAATAAAGAGAAATATGAAGCTAAATTGAAATTTGAGTAAGCAGCAAAGACAAGGTATGCCTTTTTTTCTGTTATTTTGTGTAAAGACTAAAGTTAAGGAAAGGGTTTAACTTTAATATCTAGTCAGTAGTTTTAACTTTTATTGTGCATTATTTTATGAACTCTTTAATAATGGTATTAGTAATAGTATTACTATTAATAGCTCGTGAAAATACTTCATCCCCTTATATACTATAGTTATGGTTATAATGCAAGTTTCATTTGCATGGTCATTAGACATTTAAATCTGAAACATGACAGGGTACATAATATTTGCATGTTTAGGCAAGTCTGTTGTAAGTTGTAACTTGAAAGTATAACACGTTTTGGGAGAAATTCAACACTAACATTATTGTCAATAACGTACATGCATGAATGCTAACACTAACTTCATACTCATAGTCATACCTTTCGTTACCTTAAGATTTGGACAGGTTCTCTTATCTCCCAGTATCTCAAATTGGTAGTAATTTACAACTTTATAATACTTGTTGAAAACTAATAGTAAATGTATTACATTTAGAATGTTTAAATGGAAAGCAGTGTAAAACTTGTAAAAATTTTAATATTAATGGGAAAACAATTTATATTATAAAATATTGTGATATTTAGTAATAGTATTAGTAATAAGGAACTATTATTAAAGTATTAAATATTTTCTAACATTAATGAGGTTGTAGTAAATGTTAAAATATTCTAATCTGTTGATTTGAGATGTGTCATACATTCATAGAGTAACAGTGCAACTGTTGAATAATAAATTTAAAATTATTTTTATTGACTGAAATTAAAATGTATAACCTCACAGACTAGTTAGAGTACAGTCTACTATCATACTGCTGTTTTTTGATTGATTGTTATATTCTAGGAAGTTCAAATCTCAGGTCCTCATTACATTTCACCTTAAAATATAGTATTTAATATATTAAAAAGTTTAATGTAGACCACTAGTGTAATTTGCTAATTAGTGATTAGAATTATACACTTGGTATATGAAAATTTAAAAAGTACTTGATCTGTATGTCTTCACTACTGTTATACAAGGTTACAATAACCTTTTTCTCAAATTCAAAGTTCTTATAAGTAGGACCAAGAAAGAGTTTCTTTTTTCACCAAGCAGAAGGCTTCAGAGTTTTCCAAAACTGCTGAAACCATATTTGGAGTACAAATTCCAGGGTGTTATATGAGATCAGGTGGTGATGAATTATCTTATTAGTGGTTTATAACATTTATTCACCCATGACTGTCTCCTGAGACACTTTTTAGGCAATCCCCAGTTTGGTTGTTGTCTGCAGAAAGTTGGAATGTCCAAATTGAAAAGGGCAATGACTCAATGGTGAAATGTATGGTCTTTACACTGCAAGGCCCTACTGAATAATTTAGTTTATAAGTACTGTTGGTGTTTTGCAGTGATGCTGAGGCTTGTTTGGTGTAATAGAGCTTTGATGGGGGTGACTGAATATCTTCTGTGGCCAGTTTTTTGTATCTTTTTCAATGCTATCTAGCTTTGTAGCACTTAGACTAATCATCAGTAGTATATAATATAAGATTTCCTGCTACAACTTTCAGTGTATTGATGAGTTTGGTAGCTCTGGCTATAATTCTGTTAAAGTAGTTGGTAAAGTTGAATTTTCTGTGAAAGATTACTACCTTGATGTTTTTTCTAGATGAATAACAGTGCCTATAAAGAATAGCTATGATTTTTCCTCATCAGCTTGTCTTTTGTTCAGTGTGCAGGAAATATCTTTGGCAGGATTGATGACCAATCATGTGTCACTGCATCATTTGCTCACCCTGCTAAGGGATGGTTACATTTTGTTTTCATTTTCAGCTTTGCTTGTGTCTTTGCTGTACACCAGAATGTCATCAGCGAAGGTTAGCATATGTCATCTAGTTGGACTGTCAAGGTGGATTTTATCCATGATGTAGATGTTGAAAGGACTGTTGAGAATACTGATTCTTTAAGCAAGACCAGTGGTTATGGTGATCCAGTCTGATTAGCAGCTTCTATGCTTTATGATGAATCTTCTTGTAGTTAGGGCAGCTACAACCCCTCTTACACATATTACACTGGTGCCTATTCTTAGCATTTTATCAGCAAGATTGTGCTGCTTAACTGTAGGCATCTTTCATATTTAAAGCTACTGTCTACAAATTATCTGTGGAATTGATAGGACAAAGGTACCTGGTTTCATTGTGGTATATCTTGAATATAATAGGAGAAGAGGGCAAAAATTTTAGATTTGTAAGAGACTGACTAGACTAGCTATTCATAAATGTTGGTTGATTAACACTGGAATACTGCAGAAAAAGTAAAAGGGCTATTTATCTTATCTATTTTGTCATTATTTTTTTAATTTACTCATCTGCAGAGCAATCACAGTGATGAAAAAATCTCATTGGGAAAAGGCTAAACTGAGTGATGTTAGGTACATGATAGGTAATGCTTTCAGTCTGCCTAGTGATATTTGTGGCATATACTTTTTAGAGGTAAAAATTAATCCTACACTTCATTTGAAATTTACACTTCATGATGAACTTTTCTGTTAGTATATAAACCAAGCCAATTTTATACAAGTAACTTAAAAACAATAATGAATATGATACACAAAGTTAGCCAAATTGTTTTTTGAAATACATGGAGAGTTAAGAAATTTTCCATCAACAGCTATTAATGTAAAATGTAATTTCAACAATGTACAAGTACATGCATTAACATGTATCTATGATTAAACATTTATTTGGTTGTGATGTATGAATTTCTTCCTGTAGCTTTTTCAGTTTAGGACTGTTGTCTGCCTGAAATAATTTCTAGTCAGTAACAGAGCTCATCATTGGACAAATATGTTGGAGCCATCTTCTTCAGAAGAAGAAAGTGACAATGAAACAATTGAAGATGAGAGCTCAGAAACCACTGTACTTTCAGCCTCAGCCACGACTTTAGAACTACCTCGAAGTGGAAGTGTAAGCCGTAGCTTATCTCCTGCAAGTGTAGCAGAAACATTAAGTATTGGGAGTGTTTCTCAGTCACGTTTCAACAACTTAGCTCGGCCATCAAGTCCAAGCCCTTCTTTAGTTAGTGATAAAGAAAAGGATGATGTCGACCGTGCAGAACAGGAGGAAGAAGAAAGGAAGAAAAGACTTCAACTTTATGTTTTTGTACTTAGGTGTATTGCTTACCCATTTAATGCTAAGCAACCAACAGATATGACTCGGAGACAAACAAAGATTACAAAACAACAATTGGAAACTATTCAAGGTCGTTTCCAGTCATTCTTGAAAGGTGAAACTCAGATTGCTGCTGATGAAGCATTTCAGAATGCTGTACAGAGTTATCTCGAGGTGTTTCTAAAGAGTGATCGTGTATTGCGTATGGTTCAGAGTGGTGCTTGTTCAGCACATGACTTCCGTGAAGTCTTTAGAAACAACATTGAAAAACGAGTGAGAAGTCTGCCAGAAATTGATGGCCTCAGCAAGGAAACTGTGCTAACTTCATGGATGACAAAGTTTGATGCAATATTTCGTGGTGATGAAGATACAAGAAAGCAGAGCCGTCTTCAACAGAACATTGCATCGGAGCTCATTTTAAGCAAGGAACAGTTGTATGATATGTTCCAAAGTATATTAGGAGTAAAGAAATTTGAACATCAACTTCTGTATAATGCCCTTCAGGTAAAACATTTAATTAGTTTTATATTTTGATAGTTTAATGCTTAAGAAATGCATCATTTATAACTTTCTAAGATGCTTTCTATGGAAATAACACAAGTGATTTTTATTTAGGATCTTAGTAAAAATGTTTTAACATTTCCTGCTAATGGATGCTCCTACGAATTGGATAAATTTTGAAGCATGTAAGTCATAGTTATTTTTGGAAAAGCTCATTCAATGTACTTTGAGTGGACATTTGTAAATCTGTAATAATTTAAGAAATTTTTGTTGTTGTCAGATTACAGAGAGAAAATTAATTTGGTAATTAAAAACTGAGTAATAATAATTGCAAAAGAAATAGTTACTAGTACAACTTCTCAAAATGTATTATCTTTCTACCATGAATAGTTATGGTTATTTTTAACATTTCATGTGAAGAGAAAGGTAAATGGATATTTGGGCCAGAGATTTCATTTATGAACTTCTTATTCAGGTTTTTAAATTATTATTTTTTCAATCTGATAAACTTCAAGGGCAGTAGGTTAACAGTTGAAATATACGAGTGGAAAGTCTAACATCAGAGAAAGAGGTTGTATAGTTTAACTCTATAACCATCATGATAACTTGTAATTCTAAGAGTGCTAGTCTCTCTCCAATTCATATTGTGATTGTTTTATTAAGTCTTTATTTTGTTAGTTTATATTTTGGGAATTGAAAGCTTTCAGTATTTCAGTATTTGTTTTGGTATATGGTTATTCATAAAAAAAAATTTTCTTTTAGCTGGATTCAGCTGATGAACAAGCTGCAGCCATTCGCCGTGAGCTAGATGGAAGGATACAGAAGGTTAACGAAATGGAAAAGGTTTGATTTCCTTATAAATAAATGTATGTACATATATAATGTTGATTTGAAGACTTACTAATGATGTAGAATTTGTATTAAAAGCACTCCAAAAAGTTATTTCATTGTTCCACAGAAATTTTAAGAATGTCTTTACTCCATAGCAGCTTCCCCTTTTCAAAACAAGAACAATGAATTGTTTATTTCAAGCTGGTGTATCTGTGATAAAAATCCACACTGCTCAGTTTTCTGAAGTACATCTTGAACATTGAAATATTGCCCGTTATTTTAGATACTGTTCATGCTGATAATGAACAGTTGAAACTAAAATTTACAAAGTCTTTTAAACAATAAAGCAATCTGTCAATTTGGGAATTTCATTTATTTTTCAGAATCGAAAGTTGATGCCAAAGTTTGTTCTGAAGGAAATGGAAAGCTTGTACATAGAGGAGTTACGATCATCAATCAATCAGCTGATGGTCAATTTAGAGAGCCTACCAGTATCAAAAGGAAGTGCTGAAGGGAAGTATGGTCTTCAGAAACTAAAACGGTATAATCATAGGTGAGAGGTTCTGTCTATTTTCTTTTTTTTTCTCTTTTAGGAGTATTTACATGAAATTATTCTAATGATTTTTGTTGATTTAAATTGTGGTTTTATTTGATCTAGTGAAACCTGAGTAAATGCTTTTGTATACATATGACTTATGAAAACATTATAAGCTGAGCCTATGTGATAAAGAGGGTTAATCACACTTTATGGAAATAATTTGAATATATTGATACAGTTGTGTGGCACTTGCACATGTGAGCTGTGACCATTGTATTTAGCACCTGTATATTTTGATCACAGTAAATTTTCCACCACTGTGTTAAGGCTGCCACAGATTGTCATATGTCTAAAGGAATACAACAGCCCTTCCTGAAGGTGGATATTCATAGAGCAAGTGTGTTAAATGATATATATAGCCAAAACACAAAATATTTCATAGACAGAAACCTTCATTGTTCTCCACAGAAACGAAAAAGGTTTCCCAGCAGAGCTTTAGGATAGCATTGGCCTCCAAAACCACACTGAATGTGATTCTGAGCAATACCTTCATACAGTAAAAAGTGAAGGTTGTGGTTGTGAAATAGAACTCTTATCCCAAAAGATCTAATGTCATGAAACTAGCCATATCTTTTGCCACTATTAAAAACCTAATAAGAAAGACTTGAAGTTAATGAAAGCTCAAAAGATGTCGGCCACACCTTTAAATCATTGGTTATTTTCATGAGAAAATGATCAAAGAAGGTGCAGTCACAACAAACCCATTATAACACATATTTACTGAGTTTCTGATGCAACTATAACAGGCTTCTATTTTATTTTTTACCTTCTGCTTAAATGTAATCTAGGAAGCTAATGTCCACATGTAGAGTAGGATTTGTAGAAAGTTTCTCAAGATGTGGTCTAAAATTGGCCTTATCATTTTTTCAAAAATGAAATTGCAGTGTTGAGCAGCAGTGCATAATCATGGCCATTGTGTTGAGGATGATTGACAATGATGGAAATAGTTACAAGGGAAACATGACCTGGAACATTCTTCTTACAAAGTGTGATTAACCCTCAATACGTTCATTCTGGAAGAAAGTTCCTCTAAGGTAGAAAAGAAAAATATCTTAATAATAGGCTTCCTAGATCTAATGGAAACAATTTTATGAGTTTAGTTTTAATGCCGGAGGAGTGAATGTTCTTTGAATGTTCCACTTATTTAGAAAATTGACTAATTACTCTTAAAATCTGTTAAAACATGTTTTAAAGTATTTTATATCTATTTACCACATTCATATGAAGACAGTAGTACATTTTTTATGTAATAAATAATTGCTTAATTACTAAATTTTTAAATGTTCGTATGATTTATTGTCTGAGAGTAGATTTTGATTTAAGTATAATATACATGACAGATGCTTTTATTTGCTATTTAAAACTTGCATGTTCCGAAACAAAATACAAAGTTTTAGTTATTTCATTCTCTCTTAAAAAATTTATTAAGGGAACTGTATTAGTTGAGGAAAGATTTTTTTATTGTTAAAGTAAAAAAGCATTTCTAATATTACATAAAATTTTATAAATTTGATAGAATGGTAATATTGAAATCATATTTTGTGTAATTGTTGTTTTTTTTCAAATGATGCTAAGATATACAAAGAAGTAGCTATATTAACTTATTTTTCAGTAATATTCATTGTTAAATAACTGATTACTTTTGTACATATCCTATTCCTTAATAACCAAGTAACTTCTTCCATGCTGCCACATTATTTGTATTGTAGTCGTCAAAGGTAAAGATTTGTTATTAAATAATACCCATTGCTGCTAAGTTTCACTCATCTGTGGCATGCTGTGTTTCTTTGTGGTTCAGTGGATCTATTGTGGTTCAGAAAAGGACAAAGATTGCTTATGATCCATCAAATTCATAAAAGATTGCTTTTGTCTCATCTTCTATGTAATGCAAACTATGCATGTTCAAACATAAACATTTTTCCCTTTAAAATGTTTCAAGATGACCTGTTTTCTTATTTTGAAATTATTTTTGTTTATGAATGAAGTGGAAAAAAATACAAACTTTTTTGGAAATTATTATTAGAAGTGAAAATTTCTAGTCAGAAATTGAAACTGTGTTGTTATAGCCCACTTGAACGACAGTATTTGTCAGAGAGTTGTATAAAAGTTTACATTTTCTTTTTGAAAGATCAAACTTATTCAGTAGTGTTTATTCATACATGACAGAGACAAGATTTAGTACTAATGGAGGATTAATTTTATTGTCAGTTAATAATGAAGAACCAGGCATTGGTTAGCATACCCGGACTGTGATCAGAGGGTTTATGGTTTCCCGTCTCATTGCCAAAAAACACTTTTGGGTTGTGGGTACACTATAAAAGTGACTGATAAAACCTACTTCTTGATCAGAGAAGAGTAGTCCCAAAGTTGATGGTAGATTCTGTGGATGACTGCCTTCCCTCTAGTCTATCTCCTAAACTGGGAGCTGTGGAGCCACAAGGGGTGGTAGGAAAGTGTCAGGGGGCCATACCAAATGCACAAAATACACTACTATGAAAATACTCAGTATCTATAGTTTTATTGGGGTAGGAAACCCTAATTAGGATGTGGGCTCTTCTGAGGGTCTTGTGCTGAAAAAGTTTGTAAACCCATGCTGTAATCTGTCAGTTAAAAATTAAGAACAGATATGCATAAATATCCTTTTGTATTGCTTTTGTTAAAATTCTAAAGGGGATAAAATTGATTAATGAAAATGTAAGTCTTGAAAAAAAAATTGTTGTTGTTATTGGATCACAACTGTCTAAAAGCATGAATGAAACTATTGTGTGTTTGAAAATGCTTGTCAACATCAGCCTGCTTTTTCTTTGATAAATGGTTGAACTTAGTTATGTCTCTAAAAATAAAAATGTTTAGTTAGTTGTGAACTTTTAACGCTTAAAAGACTGTGTGTGACTCTACTATGCCTTTATTTTTTGTCTTTATTGCTTAGTTAAGAAGTTATATTTCACTTTGTTTATTGATAAATACTTCACAGATGAATATGAAGTTATGCTTTGACTAATCATTTAATCTTTAATTCAAATAGGGTTTAAATTTATAAATACTCTGAGAGTCAGGTGTATCAAATAATGCCCAATCAATTTATTTCAAAGGTGATTCCAATTACATGAATATTTTTTACAAGATCATAGAAACAGACTTAAATAATTGTCAGTTACACCTATTTATTATTATTATGTTACCAAAACTACAATTTGTACTTTTTGAAAATAATTTGAATGTTACATTGAGACTTCTTTCAAGAAGTGTTTTACATGCATGTAGCCTTTTGAGCTCATTCATTCTAAGTTACAAGGTTGTATTGAAAAACTGTTGTCATTAACTAACTTACATTAGAGAATATTGCATTACACATTTTTTGTGTCCTTGCATGAGTTATGTCAGTTTAATTTTGTTGTTCTTTTCGATGTATCTATTCTTAACATTCTAACTTGCTTTATTTGTTTTGTTTCTTTTAAATAATATATTGTTCATCTTTTGTAATAATACATTTGATATATGCTATATCAGTGGTTCTCAACCTTTTTGAAACTACAGAACTCTTCTGGCATCAAATGTGTGTGTGTCACAGAACCCTTCATAGCATGCTCTCTCAAATAATAAGTTTACATGACTCAACCGCCTGTTTGTACCTAGTCTCTCTTACTAATTTAAAACAATGCAATAACTTGTTTTTATGTTGTGTTATTATGAAACTATCTATACTAATGAAGAAATGTGATGTAGTCGGATTGCAATTATGTGACTAGTAATGTATTTATGTATTAGAATATGTGGAATTCTTGCATTCTGTGGAACCCCTGGATGCCTGTCAAGGAACCCGAGGGTTCCGTGAAATCCCAGTTGAGAAGCACTGTGCTATATGATACGTGTTTTAATACAGTAATACAAGTAATGTGTTATCTGTGTGACCTAATTTTTTTTTTTATAGGCACATGTTTATAAGTATTAATATACAATTTCAATTTAACATATGCTATTTTTATACAGCACAGTATGGTTTTAGGGGTATTTTTGACACATGACAGTTTTTATTTATAATAACAGATATAGTTGTAAAAATCATTATTGTTTTTACATTTAACAATAACATGATTGGGGCATACTTTCTGCATGTTTACTAACAGGTATACTTATGGTGTACTTTCTCTGTTTAGTAACATATTTGGGATGTAGTTTGTAAATATATTCAATAACAAGAACCATAGGGTGTACTTTATTACTGAAACAGGTACATTTTTGGTGTTTTTTCTGCATGTTTAATAACACTACATATCTGTAATTTCAATGTGTTTGTAATAACAGCAACACTTGTGTAATTTCAGTATTTAATAACAATTGTTTTGTAGTTTCTGTATGTGATAACACACATTTTGTTTAGTTTCAGTGTGTTTAATTACAGTTAGATTCATGTAATTTCTTTGCTTTATAGCATTTACACCTCTGACATACTTACGGGTCAATAACAGGTACATTTGTAGTGTACTTTTTTTCTGTTTAATAACAGGTATATGACTGATGAAGATAGGCTTGTAGTGTACTTTGTGTAGAATAAAAAAGTCACACTTATGTACTTTTTTTGTTTGCTAAAAGTCACGTTGTGGTGCATCTTCTGTGTTTCTTATAATCTTATTTCACTACAAATTGAATTTTCATGTTTTGTCCTTTAAAGCCCAGTGGCAGGTATAATGCCACCTCTGATCTTGAATTAATAAATTAATACCTCATAATAGTTACCATATTTATAAACATGGCATCATAACTGTGGAACCTTTTACGTTATAAATTTGGTATTTTTGATCAATTTGTGACTCATAATACAATAAAAACCACTATATAACTATTTACTATGCCATTATGCATGGCACATCTAGCCATTGACCTGAAAGCCAATTTTTTTTTATACATATAGTAGACTTAATGAAATCATGTGCTAGACCATGTTGTTGTTGTTAAGAAATATTGCAATAAAAATCACCTAAAGTGTTAATACTAATATAAATAGATAGTATGTATCTCACTCTATTTAATGCATAAAACTTATATTGCAATAAAAATCACCTAAAGTTTTAATACTAATATAAATAGATAGTATGTATCTCACTCTATTTTATGCATAAAACTTATCTCTGCTTTCATTTTACTTATATATATAAAATATGTTAAAAACAATTTCATCTTTACTTTTGCCTAAAGCTGAAGTACAATTCTAATGGTCCATAACTTATTACCCTTCTCTGGTTTACAAAATTATAGAAACTGTCACTAACTTACAAGGCCTTGCATAGTCTTAAGGTGACTTGAAATCTGTTAAGAACATTTTGAACTGTACAGTCTAGTTTAACTATACAAGGAAGGGAGATATACCTATGGAAAATAGGTTGTGAGAGAAAAATTATTCCAAGTTTCAGATAATATAATAAGATTTTGTTAGCTTTAGAAAGTTGTAAATTGTAAAAAATGAAAAACTGCTGATAGTTGAATTTTACAGTTCTTGACATCATCAACTTCAAAAACTCACTGTTTTCAAACTATTGGAGCTAAAAATAAGCCTCAAATGAGTGCAAAGTTTACAGATTTGTTGATTAGTTTTGTTCACTGGCAGGTTATTTTTCCACAGGCAGGAAATTTAATGATTTCCACCATTTCAATAATAATAATAATTACAACTGGGAGCACAAATCAAAACTTGGGGCTAATGGTTTCAATTTTATTTTTGTTGTTTCATCCAAAACAAAAGTTAATAAAACTTATATCAAAAGAAAATGTAAACCTCAATACTTCAGTTATAATTTTATTTTGGGGGTAATTTGAGGGTATACATCACACAAAATGCTTCAAAACTTGATTTTGTCATTTTGTGCTTGTAAAATTGCAAGATACCATACTGGAAAGGTTTAACAATAAGACATATTTGTGTAATTTCCTATCTTAATAACATCTGTTTGTGCTGTACTTAGTGTATGTTTAACAAAAGACATATTGCCAAGTTTCTGTTTGTTTCGAACTAGACACATTTGTTATGTAATTTTTATGTTTAAATAACACACATTTTGGTTAGTTTATTTGTGTTTTGTAATAGTGTGATGTACTTCTGTGTGTTTTTAATAATAAACATCTTTATGGTGCAGACCTACTTTTGGTGTAATTTTTTGTTTGGTTACTGATGTGTGTGTGTATGTATATATATATAT